GCTGGGCTCAGATGCAGTGGTAGTAGACCCTCCACAATCATTGCCCTGGCACGCTCAGGTCTGGTCACCCCTCAGGGGACTGGGGGAGGAAGGGAGTGTTAATAACTCAGTCAAGTAAACAACCCCTACCAGCTTGCCCAGCCACTGGCCTGGGGGGGGGGGGGGGGAGCCCCGTGGGGCAGAGGGAATCCAAGCCAACCTGATCCAAGTCCTGCTGGGGCCAGCCCCTTCAGGCCTCCTCTCCTCCGGACCCTCCTCCTCCCCCAGCTGGTGAAAGGACCCCCTGCCTCCCCTCCAGTCTCCTGGAAGGAAAGCTCCCCTCTCCCAGGGTGGTGTGACCTGGGACCCAGCTGGGCATCGGAGGAGCCGTCCCTTTGATGGGCTGGGGTGGGTGGGGTGCTGCTGCCTCTGTCCTGGGCTGGGTGAAGGCAGGCCGAGGATGGCTTCCACAGGGAGCAGGGGAATCTCGGGGTGGGAGGTGGGTGCCCGAGGGGAAGGGAAGCGCCCGTTGGGCGTGTGGGTTTCTGTGTGTGTCTGAATCTGTCTGTGTGTGTTTGAATCTGTCTGTTTGTGTCTGTGCTCTGGAACCACCCCCGCAGAGGAGCTGGGATGCTTCCTCGGGTGGAGGGTGCCCTGCTTTCCCATTTCCTCTCCTCCTCTCTGTTCCTTCCCAGGAGCCACTCCCATGGGCTCCTCTCCAGTGCTCGGCCTGGAAGCATTAGGAGCAGGGACGGGGCAGACCCCCTGAGTGTGAGGCTGGAGCAGGCGGTGGCGCGGGACCCACCTCCGCCCAGACTCTTGGTGAGAGGAGGCCCCGAGAGCAGGGGCAGACTGGAGCCTAGGCCCTCCCAGAACCCGGGAAACTGTGCCACTGGGCTGTGGGAGGGGGCTTGGGTCGGAAGGTGAAGAGCAGCTTGGCCAGGTGAGGAGGCGGCGGTGTACCGCCAGCGGCGTGTACCCATGCACCAGAGCTGGAGAGGGCCGGGAGCCGTGGTCCAGCAGGCACAGGGCCGGCTGGCGTGGGTCAGAGTGCCCATCACTGACCCGTGAGAACCCGACTGCCCCTGCCAGCTCTGGCACTGCCCCCTCGCAGCCGCTTGCCCTAGCACCCCAGGGGGCACCCCGCCCCACAGTGGCCTGGTCCGGCCCCTCCCGCCCTTTGCTCCAGTTCCCGGGCTTGGTACCTATAGTGGGGGTGCTGCCCGCCTGCCAGGCTCCGGGGCCGGGCCCACGGGAGGGTGGGGCGGCTGGGAAGCTGGCACGCTGCCCCCGGGGAGCCTCTCTCGGCAGGCGCCCGGGTGCCGCGGGGGGAGGGGGGAACAAAGGGCTCATTCTCCCCATGCGCAGCCGGTGGCATCGCCGGGGCGTTGGCGGAAGCCCCCGGGGCACGGGAGGGGGCAGGCCCAGGCGGGGCCGCCGAATCACGGGCTCCTGTTTCCCGCAGGGTGCTGGAGGAGGAAACCGGCGGAGCAGCTTCCTCACTCTCAGTTGCGCGTCTGGCGATGGCGATCAGAGGTCCTGCTGCGCTCCCCGCTGCGCTCTCCCTCCATTAGCCGCGCTGCCCCGCTTTGCGCCCTCGCTGGTGCTCTCGTCTGGGTTCCAGGATCGGCGCCCCCTTCCAGGCACGACCCCCTCCCCCGGCCCCTCGGCCTTTCCCCCACTCGGCCGTCTCCGACCCGGGGCGCGCGTTCCCCCGGCCCGGCTCCCTCTCTCCCTCCGGGGACACCGCTCCCTAGCCCCAGCCCGGCCCTCCCCGCGGCGCAGCACGGAGTCTCCGCGTCCCATGGCGCAACCCACTGCCTCGGCCCAAAAGCTGGTGCGGCCGATCCGCGCCGTGTGCCGCATCCTGCAGATCCCGGAGTCCGACCCCTCCAACCTGCGGCCCTAGAGCGCTCCCGCTGCCCCGGGGGAGAGAGAGCGCCAGCGCGCTGAGCACGGAGCGCTGAGCACGGAGCGCGGGGTAGCGAGGCCTCGCCCGCCGGCCGGGAGGCCCCGGAGCCAGCCCATGGGGAGCGAGCGTCCGACGCCGGCCCCGAGGACCACCGCCCGAGCCGCACCTGGCCCGTGAAGCCCAGGTAAGCGCCGAGAGGCGGCGCCAGGGGCACGCCTTCGGGGACACTTGGCTGGGTCCGAGCCGCAACAAGGAATGAGCGCCCTGTGCTCCTCTGGTCTGGGCCACACATCCGAACCTTAAGGTGCCCGAGGGGGCTTGGCCGCGTTGGAGCGGTGGCCCCAGAAAACCCGGGAGCTCTCTGTCCTGGCTGCGGCCTGGGGCTTCACCCAGGGGGCCACGAACAGGGAGCACTGTGGCTCTAGTGCCACCTGTCATTCTGGTCCTTCTCACGCTCGTTCAATTTTCCCTCCTTTGCCTCTGTCTGGGGTGCAGCCGCTTTCCCCGCCTCCTTCCCTCCCCCCACCAGGCTACGGTTACTGTGGCCGCTGGTGGCTCTGGCACTGCCAACTGGAGTGGGGTAGCTTTACCCATCCCAGCTGAGGTCTCTAATCCTCCTCTCCTGTGCTGGCCCACTCCTTCCCTTGGGGGCACGGTGGAGATCCCCGTACTCAGCAGGCGTCCTGGGACTCATTCGGAAGCCAAGAAACTGTAGAGCACTGGGAAGAGGCAGAGACGGCTGCCCAGGTGTGGGAAGCAGTACCAGCCAGCCCTGCCTGGAGGCTCTCCCCAGTGACTCCAGCCTGCCCAGCCTGCACGTCCCACCCCTATAAGCCTGGGTGGAGCTGAGCGGTGGGGGTGGGCAAGCAGCACCCCCAGAAACACAGGCTGCAATTTGGGAAGAGGCCTCTGGGACGGCCACTCTCCAAACCCTGTTTTATACAATGGCACCTGAGGTCCAGAGGAGTGGCGAGACTTGCCCAAAGTGACACAGCGGTGGCGGAGGCAGGGCCCAGAGCCAGTCCTCTTGTCCCCAGTACAGCGATTTCCACCCAGCTCATCCTCTGGGTTCTTGTCCCCATCCTTCCCCATGGCCTGTGCCGAGGATCCAGGCTCTGTGAGGCATGTCATCTTAGACACAGCGGTCTCTACTGAGGGGCTCTGGCCCCGGAGGGCTGTCAAATCCCAGGTGTTTGGGGGTAGGGATGGCCCTTTACACGGCTGCATCCCACCCAGGCAGGTCCTCAAGCCGCATGTGGGCAGGCAGCATGGATCCCAGCTGTGGGTTGGCACTTGCCTTACTGGTTTGAGCCGCCTTGGTGTTGCCAGGGCGGTACCCACTCTGTGCTTGGGGCAGAGTGCCTAAGAAGCTCATATTTTGGTGGTTATGCCCTAGGGACCCCCTCTGGGAGAGCCCCATGAGGGCAGGAGAGTGATGGAGAGTACGCCCAGCTTCCTGAAGGACACCCCAGCCTGGGAGAAGACTGCCCCTGAGAATGGCATCATGGGACGAGAGCCGAATGCCCTGCCACGAGACGGCCTGCGCCATGGGGCACTGTGCCTGGGAGAGCCTGCTCCCTTCTGGAGGGGTGTCCTGAGCACCCCAAACTCCTGGCTTCCCCCTGGCTTCCCTCAGGGCCCCAAGGACACGCTCCCACTGGTGGAGGGTGAAGGCCCCCGGAATGGGGAGAGGAAGGCCAGCTGGCTGAGCGGCAAGGAGGGGCTGCGCTGGAAAGAGGCGATGCTCACCCATCCACTGGCATTATATGGGTCAGCATGCCCGCCTCGCTATGGCCCCCTGATTCCTGAGCATAGCAGTGGCCATCCAAAAAGTGACCCTGTGGCCTTCCGGCCCTTGCACTGCCCCTTCCTGCTGGAGACCAAGATCTTGGAGCGAGCTCCCTTCTGGGTGCCCACCTGCTTACCACCCTACCTAGTGTCCAGCCTGCCTCCAGAGCGTCCATGTGACTGGCCCCTGGCCCCGCACCCCTGGGTGTACTCCGGGGGCCAGCCCAAAGTGCCCTCTGCTTTCAGCTTAGGCAGCAAGGTGAGTGTTGTAGCAGGCCATGCAAGGTAGCTCAGTGGTCCTCAAGCAGCCCTGTCAGGGCCACACCACACTGCCCTTCCATCCTGATGAAAAAATAAGGCAGCACCCAAATAGAGGAGCCTGTGAGCTCAGACAAAGTCAAGGCCAAGCAGTTCCTCTTCTGAGCACCTCCATCCCACTAGGCCTTTCCTGCCTTCGGGCCGTTTCAGGGACTGACTCATCCATTGTCCACTCAGAACAAGGCCCTGGGAGTTGGGGCCTCAGAATGTGTGTCTTGTTCCGGGAAAGGGGGGCAGACAAAGCCCTCTATCTGGGAAGATGTGCAGGCAGTCCCAAGGCCTGTGTCTAGGACACCTCCCCCACAGGCAACCCCCATGCCCAGGGATGAGATCTGGGCTATTTAAAACCGGTATGGTACAGGGCAGCAGATCATCTGGAGCGGTCCTGGTGGCCCTTTGGCTGTGCCAGACATTAGCCCTTCAGTTGCTGGGTTGCGGGGAGGCCTGAGAAATCCCAGGGGATGACCTGGGGGTGGCCAGGGCAGTGGGGTGGCATGTAGGTGGAGCAGTGCCTATTAACCAGTATGTGAGATGTGAGTTCTTTAGTGTTTTCACAACCCGTAAGGCCAAACAGGCACATACCTACTGGTCTTCAGTTTGTTCGTTTCTTTTTAAGCACCGGGAACCCAAGTCAGCACCAGCTTAATCCTTTCTCCTCTCTTCAGGGTTTTTACCATAAGGATCCGAGTATTTTCAGGCTGGCGAAGGAGCCGTTGGCAACGGTGGACCCTGGGTTGCTGGGCTTAGCCCCTGGCGGGCCGCTCCAGAGAAGCGGGGAGGCAGAGTGCCCTTCGCTCCACCCGAGGGATGGAGAGACAGGCCTCGGCAGGCATCAGAATCTCTGCCCACTTCTCCTGGGGCATCCAGACACTGTTCCCCGGACCCCCTGGCCCACTTGTCCCCCAGGCCTTGTTCATACTCTTGGCAACGTCTGGACTGTCCCGGGCGGTGGGGGCCTTGGGTACCAGCTGAGGCCATCAACCACATCAAGGTGCCCCTCTCCTGGGCCTCCCACCACCCAGGTGGGCTGTTACTCATCCCACCCACCTGCTGGAGATGGAGGCCTTGGCCCTTGTGGGAAGTGCCAGGAGGGCCTGGAGGGGGGCGCCAGGGGGTCCGGCGAGTCCATCGAGGAAGCAAACAAGGCCTCCGGTCCCAGGGCCTGCCTGCCCAACCACCACACCAAGCTGAAGAAGACGTGGCTCACCAGACACTCCGAGCAGTTCGGGTGCCCGGGAGGCTGCCCTGGGGACGAGGAGAGCCCGGCTGCCCCGCTTCAGACCCTCAAGAGGGCAAGTAGCCCTGAGGTCCAGGGAGTGGCCGGCAGCCCAGCCGCCAAGCGCCCCCCTGACCCTTTCCCAGGCAGTGCAGGGCAGGACGTCCTGGACTCATCACCGGGGAACAAGGCGGAGGCAGAACAGCGTGCTGACCGCAGAGGTAAGGGGCAGGGGAGGGCCCGTGTGGGCCCTGCTTGGGAGGGGGCAGCAAGACGGGAGCTTTGCAAGGAGGTGGGGTCAGAGGTCCTTTATGAGTGGGTCGGACCAGCATCTGTGGCGAGTGCCTCCGCATCTACAGGCCCGGGCCTTCACGCAAGTGGCTTCTATTTCTGTCTGCCTCCTCCCAAGCCCTGGTGTGTTGGTGGCCGTGTAATGACATGGTTCAGAGCTTGGGCTCTGGAGTCAGAGTGCCTGGGTCTAAACTTTGCTGACTGGTAGCTGCATGACCTTGAGCTAGCTGCTTCACCTCTCTGCGCCTCAGTTTCTGCATTTATAAAATGGGGATAAAGATGACACCTACCTCATAAAGACTCCTGCAAAGATTAAATGATATAATTCACAGAGAAGGCTTTGAAGAACTGGCACTTAGCACCCAATAAATGTTCGCCTTCATGATGGTCTGTGCCACAATCCCTGTCTGGAGGACTGCCTTTCCCGAGGGACCCCTTGTCCTGCCTCAGGAACAAACAATTCTGCTAGCCAGCTGGATCACGGAAACTCCGTTTGGACTCTGCCCGTGTTGATGCTCTGGGCACATCCTGGACCCCTCTGTCACGCTGTGCCCTTCACAGAGAAACACTCGGGCGCTGGCAGCCCCGGCCTCAGGTCCCCGGGATCACCTCGGGTTCTTGGCCTCCTGAACTGCTGGGCCTGGATGCGGACTCTCTCAATGGCCGTGCCCGGGCTCCCTGCACCTGGTGCGGGTCTGTCCACACTCTCGTAGGCCTGCGCCTGGGCTGGGAAGCCGTTGACCTCTTGGCCTTCTTGGGTTACTGCACCTGTGGTCTGTGTTGAAACTCTCCGGCCTTCTCACCTTCCGGCGCTCTCCGTCCGTCCACGTCGGGATTGTCTCCTCACACTGTCACCCAGCCAGCGGCACTGCTAAGCTCACGGTGGAGCTATCCAAAGTCTACACTGGCTGGATCCTGCCCTTGGGTCAGGACCATCACCTGAGCTGCCCCGGCCTTGGGCTCAACGCACCTGACCCTCCTCTCAGTCCCATCAGTCATGTCAGGGCATCGTCAAGCTCCTCTCGCGGCCTTTTTTGTGAAGCTTCTAGCTGCCTGGTCCACTCTCACTGGTTCCAAGTCAGGCCTCGGGGGCCTGGGCCTAAAGACTGGGCTGGTTCTGCGTGTGGACACTGGGGGCTAAGGCAGGATCTGGGGTTCGCACAAGCCCAGGGAGGCCCAGACCCCTGACCAGCTGCATTGTCCTCTCAGGACCCCGAGATGGCAGGGCCGGCCTCCAGGACCCAGGGCGTCAGGATGCACCTTGCTCAGCTCCCCCGGCAGGCATTGCTCAGTGCCAAAGCTGTGCCCAGGCAGCGGGTGAGGTGGGAGGGCTGGCCTGCCACTCCCAGCAAGTGCCCAGGTGAGCCCTTGCCCCTGGATGTCCCCACGTCCTCCCACTTGGGGCTCCCTCCTCACCTTCCTCTGCCCTGTCTCCAGATCGTCTCTGGGAGGGGAGCAGCAGGAGGAAGACTCGGCAGCCAGCTCCGAGGAGGGAGGAGGCTCTGGCCCGAAGGCCGGGCCCAGCGTGGGCCTCGCCAAACACCTTCTGAGTGGTTTGGGGGACCGACTGTGCCGCCTGCTGCGGAGGGAGCGGGAGGCCCTGGCCTGGGCACAGCGGGAAGGTGAGCAGCACCCACAGGGCACTGGGGAACCCAGGAGAGCCTGGTGCTTTCACCAGGGGCATGGGGACTCCGAGCGTGACCCCCTCCTTCCCACCAGCACTGCCCTGTCCTCCCGTTCAGGAGGACGCCTGCCCGCCTTGCCCTTATTCCCGGCTAAGGCTCTTAGTCACCGTGTTTTCTGAAGTTTCTGACCTGGGAGGCGGATGTCGGGAAGGTATAAAACCTGGCCCAGCCCACTGTCTAAGAGCTCCGGGCTTGTTGGGGAAACAAGATTGAGTGCCAAGTGTCTGTAAGAGCACTTGAAGGCGGGGAGCTCCCTGCGGGTGGCGCATGAGGAAGGCTCCCTGGGTGGCGAGGCTCCCGGGCCCTAGGAGGCTGGTAGGATTGGGGCTGATGTTTGAGGCTGTGGAGTCCCTCTGCCTCCAGGCTCTCCCTCCTGCATCATTTCATGGCGCCTCGAGAGCAGTGTGTTTGGGAGAACACCCCTGTGGTCCATCACTTCTGGTGGAGGCCCATTAGCAGCTTCCTCTTGCCCCAGAAAGTCCAGCCCCTACCCCCTTTCATCAGCCCCTGCCACTCCCTGAACCCGAATTCCCGGCACCCCGAATCACCCGCAGGCCTGCGCGTCCTTCCCGGCTTGTCCACCCCTTCTGGCCTTGGCACTTGCTGCTGCTTCTGTCTGGAAGGCCCTCTCCTCCCCTCCCACCTGGTGAATGAAAACTTACTCACCACTCAGGCCCATCTGTGAGCCTGCCCCCACCATCCCCACCCTCGGCCTCCATCGCATTCTCACACCCCAGCACCACTCTGTGGGGCCTTCATCGTTGCCGTGTTTATGGGCCCATCTCCCCTTGGAATGTGAGCACTGGGAGGGCGAGAGCCAAGTCCTGACTAGCTCTGGATCCCAGTCTCTAGCCCGGGACGGGACAAGGTGTTTGTTGAATGAATAAGTGAACATTTGCTCACTGGCGTCCTTGTACCTATCAGTGGGGGCCTAGTCTGAAACTCTGGGTGAGGGAAGGCATGGCCTCTTAAAATGTCCTCTTCGGTGCTGAGTCCCCTGCAGAAAGCCAGCTTGGGAGGGAGGGAGAGGGGCGGGTGAAGAAGTGTGTTGGAAGTGGTGTGGGTTGGTAATTCAGGGCCAATGGGAAAATCCGTGGGGCAGGAACTGGGGAGATGGGGCCTGCACCATCCCTGGGAGGGTTTGCTGGAGACAGTGCGGCTTCGGGGAGGTTCTGTACAGGGGCTGTCGAGTAAGCGGGGCATCTGTGAGGGGCCTGTTTCCCTTCTGGGGCAGCCCCTTGCTGGAAACTGCTCCCGCTTCTCCTCCAGGCAGGTCTGCCACATGAGGACCCCCAAAGGGGCCTGTGCGTGAGCCCTCTCTGACCCTATTCTCTCCCATGGTCAGCAGGCCAGGGGCCGGCTAGGACAGAGGACAACCCAGGCGTTCCAGGTTGCTGCAGCCGCTGCCACCATGGACTCTTCAACACCCACTGGAGTTGCCCCCGCTGCAGCCACCGGCTGTGTGTGGCCTGTGGTCGCATGGCGGGTGCTGGGAGGGCCAGGGAGAAAGCAGGTAGGAAAGGAGCCAGGGGCCGAGGGTGGGAGGGCAGGGACTGGGGCCTCGGACGGCCTGCTCTAAGGTTTGTGGCCATTCCTTGGCTGCCTCTCTTCCAGAAAGCCTCCCTCCCCGGCCCCAGCATCAGCCACTACTGCCCAGTGCCCCGTAGAGCAGACCTTCCCCTCTCCCCCCATCTGAGGGCCATGCCTGTGTCCTTCCCACCCTTAAAAGGAGTCGAGTGCCTACTCGGTGCCTCCCAATTTCTCAGCTTGCACCTTTTTAAACCTTACAACACTGTGAGGTGGCTATTTTGCCTCTATT